TAGCTCAATAATATTTTCTATAAAGTTGCATTACTATCAGTACATATCAGTTTGATGACTATTTCAAGGCCCTGCCCCCTAAATCATCGTCCAGTGACTGAATTAATAAGCAATTTTCAATATTACGTTTTCTGCTTCAGTTAGTTTTTGAGGATGTGATAACATTATACTTATTGTTCTTTATTATAGCTGATGGTATATGTTGTGGGAAAATTTGTGCCCATAATACTCGATGTGATAACTCTACATTATTGTTATTTATTATAGCTGATGGTATATGTGGAGGGAAAATTTGTGCCCTAAATGCTCGATGTGATAACTTTACATGTGTCTGTATGAATGGCTACACTGGAGATGGATTTCACAGATGTGATGGTAATATCAAGTATTTAAGTATCAAGTATTTAATGTGCTGGATTTGTTTTTAATTAACACTTAACATGGGAGTGGCCCCAACATGGTCAAAACCAACCTGCAACCTTTGGGTCGGTGGGGGGGGGGGGGGGGGGGGGTTTGGCCAGCAACCTTGCAAACTCATTTGAAAGGACATATGACCTTTACATATGTTCTAAACTCAAAATCAGATAAGTTTAGAACTATATAGTTTGCATAAAAGTGACCTGTGACAATTGTTAATGTCACCTTGTGACCTAAGGATGTACCCTACTGGAGGCCAATTGCAGGGGATATAGCTCTGTGTAGGTTTGTGTATTCATTTGTTTATCCTTTTGTCAATCTCAAAACTTTCAAGAATGATTCACAGAATGCATGTTTAAAATTGAAATGATTTTAATGACTGAAAACTGTAAATTTCTCAGGAATCCCCAACCCTACACCACTTTCAATTTTAAAGACAAAAGAAAGGTCGGAAGTTTCAAGCTAATAGTAATTTACCAGTGATTCTGGATTCATTTAGGGGATTCATTTTGTTTATCAAATTGCTTGAAATCATCATATTTTTAATTTTATTACCTGTAAAAGTGTTTGATAAAATTTTCACTTGTTTAATTTGGCATGGAATCAATTTGCATTTTATGATTAAGTGTCTTAAGACCAGGGTTTTTTAATTTGTCGTTATGGATTTTTCACTTGAAAAAGTCGGGTCGGTCAGTCGGAAAAAAAAAAGAAAAAAAATATTTTACAAGACATAAATATATATTTCAGCGTTCTAACAATTTTGGTATGCTTTTTTGTCATCATTTCTTAAATTTTAGTTCCAAATATTATTGCTCAGCTATTATTAACATACAATGCCTGCCATTGTCATATAATTTTGAAAAAGGGGGTATGTCCATGGACAAACATGAAATTAAATCGTCATTTCACAAACAAGAAAAAACAACTCCACGTTGCTTTTTATCAACTTTCAGGTAACATGGTGAATAATGAGCTTCAAGTATGAAAACACATGAAATAAAAATTGCAAACATATGGCACGAAAAATAAGATTTTACCATCTTTATCAAAAAGCAAGTAGACTCTGCCACTGGAAAGACGAGGATATCGGTTCCATCATTTGTCATGCATTCCCGTTTTTGATATCCAAATGGATGATTTTTTTTTCAATAAATTGATAAATTATTTGCGCAACCAACATTTCAAGGTCAGTTGTGATTGTTTACGTAAACCAACAGATTATTTTTAGATTTTATTTTTTACAACACAATGTGTAATCATTTCTGTTAATGTTTAATGCATTTAATTTCATAAAAATGCTGCTAAGCAGATATTTTTATTAAGATTTCAGGGATAATGTAGTTGTTAGGGTAGGCAGGAATAAAAAAGCATGAAATGTTAATTTTATTTTGATTCTGCAAATCAGAAAAATAGGGTCGGCGGATCCGTAAACCAACAAATTAAAAAACCCTTGCCTAATCTGGTGAAGACAATTTCAGACATGCTTATTACATAGTAAATAAAGCACACTTTTGACTCTTGAAAAAAAAAATTTTCTCTGTAATTTATTAAAAGTTTTAATTTTTAAATCAGAATTGGCGATTGTCTTTGCTGAAACGTTATTAAGTAATGAAGTAAATTGTCATGGAATAGAATTTCTTTAAAATACTAGTTCTGAGCTTGATCAATACTGTCAGGTGTGAAGAGGTAAAAAGTGTTTAGTGATCATTAGTGATCATCTCCTGGTGGCATCAATATGATAATTAGGATGCCCTCAGGATTCTCATACTATACTGGAATTGCAAGTTTATTACCAGAAAAGCATTTCAAAACAAAAATTTGAGCAAAATGGCGATTAAGAAACTAGATCTCTATGAAATGACCGAAATTATTTCTATGTAAATATGTTTTAACCTAAATCCAAATCTACCATTTCGGTTAATGAACTTTCAGTTTAGGCCATGTCTGGAAAATATGACCGTTTCTTGAGCCTTGGCAGGAATATATTATATACCTATGGTGGAAATTCTATGTTACATTTCACATTAAAATGTTTTTTAATCAATGAAACTAGAAACATTCCTAGACTGCTGTAAGAAAAATAAAAACTGCAAAGATTAAACATCTTGGGGGGGATTTATTTTTTTATTTTAGTATGAAACAGTTGAAATGCATTGTATTCTTGCTTTTGTCCTAACAAATATAAATTCATCTGATATTCAAAGAAACTATGACATTACATATGAAAATACATATATATGTTAGTTAACACCTTTGATTAATTATACTGTGGTTATTTTAATTAGAGAATACATTTTTTTTTATATTCCAACAGAATTGTGTAATGGCAAGAAATGTGATGACAAAGCATTCTGCCACAGAGGTCATTGTACATGTAATACTGGTTTCCATGGTGACGGAATAGATAGATGTGAAGGTTTGTATACCAGTGGAAATTCTAGTGGCAAAAAATTACCTTCCCTTCAAACTGAGAAATTTTCATATTTTGCAGTTTTTTCGCAAGAACGCTACTGATTTATGATAAGTCCACAAGAAAACCTTCCTGTAAATGGTTATAGTAAAATTAAAATAAAACCAAAATTACCATATATGTTATTTCCATCTTTCTGTATCAATCTATGAGGACAACAGGCTACAGAAGTTCTGTAAAAAATTGATTTGAAACGTTTCTTTGGGAATGAATTCCACTTGTACCAACCTCTAGTAACTGATTGACTCTGTCCGTTCGAATGACCTTGGGTAGAAATCTTTTACAACACTCGTAGTTAAAAAAGATTTAAAAGTTTCCTTGGCTTGTTTTGAAGAGAATGATTTTATATTTGGTCTGTAGCTTAATAATGATGAGTTGTAGCATGAAAGCAATTTCAACATCTGCCGTGCATCTGCTTCCTCTTTGCTGATAGTTTGAAATTTTACAACACTTGTTGAACAACGAAAATTTTCGTCAAAGTTTTCTTGTGTGGAAGCGATTTCTTTTATATTTGGTCTGCAGCTGGATAATGATGAGTTGTAGCGTGTAAGTAATTTTTGCATCTTCTGTGCAGCCAGATTCTGTTTGTGGAAAGTTAAAATTTTACAACACTCATTGTACAAGGAAAATTTATGTCGAAGTTTTCTTGCCTTCAATGACAGGGAATGATCACTCATCATTTATGCTCCAGTATACACTCAACCACAATGATTTACATACAGAGACACAGGTCCAGACATCTACTTCCTTATTTCTGATACTTTGAAATACAAGTGCAGGTATTCTTAGCAAAACAATGCTTGCATTCTTGTTATTTGTTATTTTTTTAATACCAAAATTTCTGCTGATTTTCAGATGATAGATTCTGTGATGGTAAGACATGTGCTGCCAATGCTGATTGTATAGACTTTAAATGCCAGTGTAAAGAACATTACCATGGCAACGGATATACTTACTGTGAACGTATGTTTATCTTTTCAATTAATTTATGCTTTTTGTTTTTAATTTTAAAATAGTCTATTAGAGAGAAATGGATTTTGTAGGTTTGAGGAATCCATGTTTAAATTCCCTATGACATACAATTTTTTAGATGATTTGTTAGGACCAAATGATGAAACCTCAAAATTAAGTGACCCTGTAATAGCAGTGTTTTCTCCATCCAGGAAAATTGATACCAACCAAATGAAATAAATTGACAGTAGTTTTAGATACTATATTGCTGTGATATCTTTATAGCTGGGAACTGTGAATCCTAAATGCCTGAAAAATTAATTATTTATTCCTGATTCCAATAAGTGTAAATTCTGAATTGCAGACAAAAAAAAAAGACCCAATCCGGACGTCCCATAAAAGGACCTTCTGCCCATCACTACTCATATTGAGAAAAAGAAATAAAATAGCATTATGTTAACAAACATGGTATAAAACATTTAAGAATATTCTCATCCTCGTAAAGTATTCTTAGAAATTGATTATAGGTCACAATGGATCATAACTTATATTTGTTGATTGTTCTTTGCTTGGTCATGTTTATTATACTTTCAAGGTCATGTTTAAGGTCAAGGTCATGAATTACTAAAGTAGGAATACATCATAAATATAAACCATTGCAAAAGAATTTTTAAAGGCAGTGCTTTAATGCCTTTCTTGTTGCCGTGTTAATCTTTCTTTCCGCGATATCCAACTTATCTACGTGGGGGGTCATTAGGCTCCAAGTAGATCCGGAAAATGTTGATTCTCTCCTCTTCTTATTGTGATATAAAATGTTTTTTGTTTCATTTCATTTACATTGGGAAATAGAGAAACGATCATTGTGTTTTGTTAGTTTTAAAAACTTTTGATATATTTGTATTTTACATTATAAGCAGTCAACCGATTGACAAACTAGAATTATTTGAATTCCGTGTGGAAAGAGGTCGGTTTAATTTCGAGTGTTATCTGCAATCTAGATGTTTATAAATCATTTCAGTCGTTGATATTATAATTAAAGGTTGACTGAACATAAATTATATTATCCAATTTAAAGCGCATTTCTGTTTATGCACGCGAAACCTGTCTAACGTTATTGTTATTTCGCAGTTATATAAAGTAGCAAATTATCGTTCCTGAATAAGTGGCGCCGTGGTAGCCGATCCTGTTCTTCAACTTCCGGTTTCTGCACTGTGCAACTATTACAGTTGCATTTTTAATTAAAGATGCCAAGTTCTTGTTGTTGTGTACCTGGATGTCATTTAAGAGGAGGGCATGCATTTCCAAATGACTTAAAAAGAAGGAAAAGTTGGATCAACGCCATGGCCCATACGCAGATTGGACGAGAACACGATGAAATCGTGGAGTCCATCTCAATCAGCTGTTGTTTGCAAGGCACATTTTACTGAAAAAGACTATGTGCAGGAAACTATTCATGGTAAAACTCTATTTTCTTTTTAAAATATATAGTTATATATGTAATCGCCATGTGAATAAACCAAAGTCTGTTTACAACCGCAATTATCGTTTTAGAATAAAAGGGGGTGGTTAATTCAAGACGTCATAATTTTTTGGATTACGATTCAATGTGATCTGTTTGAGATTTTATGGTGCTTGCTACAATTATAATGATTTCTTACAAGAGGTATATCATACTGAGAATTATTTTAGCAGTAATTATGCTAATGTAGTAATGACAGGAATGCAGAAGCTATGCCTCATAGACTTTCTTGAAAAATATCAATGACAATGTTAACAGGAACAAAACAATGACATGCTCTCATCTATATTATAGTTATTTAGGTACAAACAATGTATATTTGTTGCATACGTCTCTCATTGTTTGTCCTTTGGATTTACATAACATTCATTTTGATGTACATTGAATCAGGCTAACATAGTTTTATCCAGATTATAATGAATAAATCTAGTTAATATTTTGCCAGATAGTACAAAGTATGCATTGCTAATGGAAGTTCATTTAATTATCAAAAAACTAATCTTTTATAACCTTTTTCAGGGCGCAAACCCACCATACAGAGACTTAAGTCTACTGCCATTTCCAGCCTATTTTTCTGGACTAAGCAAGAGACTGAATCGTCCGCAAAAAGAAAAATCAGGGCAGTTTCCTGTGAAAACAAAAGAACTAAACTTGATGAATATTGTAGTAGAAATCTAGAGGAAAGTTTTGATTGTAAAGTTGGTTTTCCTGAAGAAGTCATTCATACTGCAGACAGGATTTATGACTGTCCACCACCAACTGCCGAGCTAATGTTGAGCTTCACAGATGGAATTACGCAAACACCATCAATGCCTATATTTTCAGCAGAGAATTTTGAAATGAAGACACGTGACACAGCCATGCATTTTTATACCGGTTTAGAGTTGTATACTAAATTTTTATTTGTTTTGACCACACTTGGTCCAGCAGCACATTGTTTGAGATACATATATTTTCAAATTGATAGGGTGTCATTTGAAAATCAGTTTTTTTATGACTTTGATGAAATTGAGGCATTATACAACCAACTTTGAACTGTCTAGATTCTAGATTGAAACTAGTGTTAAGAATATTGTGTAAACATGGATTGTTTTTATGTCTAAACAGTGGCGTGAGGCTAACACTTGGCCATTTAGTGGTTTAGTCAGGTATTTTTCGCCATCCAACTTCAAATTAAAGTTTCCTACAACTTGGATTATTATTGACAGCACAGAATATCCCGTGATAAAACCTAAAGCTCCTAGAGCTCAGGCAACCTTTTCATCATAAAAAACAGAAACACTGAAAATACTTGTATGTTCGACACCTGGTGGTTTAGTCAACTATGTCTCTAATGCATATGTTGGTTGTACCAGTGACTGTGAAAAAGTTGAAAGATGTAGAATAGTTCAATTATGTGATCCAGGTGACAGTGTGATGGCAGACAAAGGTTTAAATGTGCAAGATTTGTTTGCTCACTTTTTTCAAAAAAAGAAACAGAATTAGTTCCAAAACTCTTATACGGGATAGAAAAGTCTCCAATTAACACGTGCACATAGAGCTAATTATTGGACTTGGCAAAACATACAAAATTCTAATAAATCCTATGAATGAAACTGAAACAAAACTTTCATCTGAAATAACATTTAGTTGTTTTATGTTGTGTAATTTTAGAACTTGTATTGTGCCAAAGGATGCATAAATAAAAGTGACGCAATGAAGTTTGTTCTGATATATATATATATAAATATTATTTACAATTACATGCACATATAAATTGTAATGCATATAAAAATAATGTGGTATGATATTCAGTGAGTTTATCGAACCAAAGTGCATAAGAAATGGGTTAAGCAGTTACAGGTGTTACTGTCACCGTACAATCTCCAACAATTAGAAAAACTTGTACTGTGTAAAAAATTTCAGAGATCTTACAACTAAGTTTGACTTTGGTGAATTGTTTATATCTGTTGATGTAAATATAAAAAAGAAGATGTGGTATGATTGCCAATGAGACAACTCTCCACAAGAGACCAAATGACACAGAAATTAACAACTATAGGTCACAGTAAGGCCTTCAACAATGAGCAAAGCACATACCGCACAGTGAGCTATAAAAGGCCCCGAAATGACCATGTAAAACAATTCAAACAAGAAAACTAACGACCTAATTTATGTACAAAAAATGAACGAATAACAAATATGCAACACATAACAAACGACAACCACTGAATTACAGGCTCCTGACTTGGGACAGGCACATACATGTACATACAGAATGTGGCAGGGTTAAACATGTTAGCGGGATCCCAACCCACCCCCTAACATGGGACAGTGGTGTAACAGTACAATATAAGAACGAACTATAAAAATCAGTTGAAAGAGGCTTAACTCATCAGATGGATAAATACAAATACAAGTGGACGTGGCCGGGTAGTTGTACATCCAAATACAAGTGGACGTGGCCGGGTAGTTGTACATCCAAACAACAAAAAGACACTTAAGTACAGATCTGAGAGTACTCGCATTTACTGACAGCTAGTTCAAAGCCACTAACAACTGATAAAAAAATCTTGCATCTAAGACTAAATTATCAATCCGTAAGTTCCCTTTAGAATTTTATAAATTTTAGATTTTACATTTCTGAGTTATGGGGTTTTATTCATTAAAAAAGGGGGGATTTTCCAGTTTTTGGACAACAACTCAAAAATGCTTTAAGCAGTTCGCATGAAACTTTGGTGAATTATTTATAGCTATTGATGTAATCTCCTTATTGATTTTCATAAATTTCAAATATGACATTGAGAAGAAATTAAACTTTATTTGTTTATAGTCTGGCAACAGATTTATTAAGTATTGCGCAACAGCACAGTGTATTGCACAACAGCAAGAAATCTTTAATTGAATATAAATTCAATTCATATAACCGATTTCAAGTTCTTTGACTACATTTATTCAGAAACTATAATATGTCAAATATTTAATTACAATCCAAATTCAGACCTGTATCAAGCTTGAATATTGTGTCCATTTTTGCCCCAACTGTTCAGGGTTGGACCTATTCGGGTGTATCCAGCTGCGCTCAGCGAATCAGTTTATTTCTTAATTAAGAACTCCTTTTTGTCGAGCCTAGCTCTACATAGGGATAGTGATCCGACGGCGTTAGCTAACTTCTTAAAAGCTTTATATTTTAGAAGGTGGAAGGTCTGGATGCTTCATACTTTGTATATGGATGCCTCATGTTACGAAGTTTCCGTCAGTCACATGTCAAATGTCCTTGACCTCATTTTCATGGTTCAGTTACTACTTGAAAAAAAAGTTAAGATATTTTGTAATGTTAAATTCTCTCTTATTATAAGTAATAGGATACCTATATTTGGTATGTGCGTACCTTGCAAGGTCCTCATGCCTGTCAGACAGTTTTCACTTGACCTCGACCTCATTTCATGGATCAGTGAACAAGTTTAAGTTTTGGTGGTCAAGTCCATATCTCAGATACTATAAGCAATAGGTCTATTATATTCGGTGTATAGAAGGACTGTCCAACTGGCAGGTGTTATCTGACCTTGACCTCATTTTCATGGTTCAGTGGTTATAGTTAAGTTTTTGTGTTTTGGTCTGTTTTTCTTTTACTGTATGCAATAGGTCTACTATATTTGGTGTATGGAATGATTGTAAGGTGTACATGTCTAGCTGGCAGGTGTCATCTGACCTTGACCTCATTTTCATGGTTCAGTGGTCAAAGTTAAGTTTTTGAGTTCCAGTCTTTTTTTCTAATACTATATGCAATAGTTCAACTATATTTGGTGTATGGAAATATTTTATGATCTATTTGTCAGTCACGCAGGTTTTTTTTTACCTTGACCTCATTTTCAAGGTTCATTGCTCAGTTTTAAGTTTTTGTGTTTTGGTCTGTTTTTCTTAAACTATAAGCAATAGGTCAACTATATTTGTTGTATGGAAGAATTGTTAGCTGTACATGCCTGCCTAGCATGGTTCATCTGACCTTGACCTCATTTTCTTGGTTCGTTGGTCAATGTTTAGTTTACTTGGTTAATGTTAAGTTTATGTGACAGTTGTAATAAAGCTTTATATTTAGGACTATCAACATAATATCAATGATTAGTAAAGAAGGCGAGACATTTCAGCATGTGCACTCTTGTTTCATTCATAAATTACTTTATACTTGGAAATATAATTTTGCTTGGAGTTATAGTTTCTAAAAAAAGTATTGTCATTGAAAGAGTTGACATGTTGCAATGTACATTTATTCTACATAGTTCTATGGTACCAAATCAAAAGTTTATATAAAAGAAAGAAGTCAAAGGTTTCCCATCATAGTTTAGTTACATACATTTTTTTTTGTACCTCAGGTCGTTGAATATAGATCATTATATAAATAAGGAGATGTGTTATGATTGCCAATGAAACAACTATCATCCATACATTGTACTTACCAGTAACAAACCACATTTGCAAAGTTGAATAAAATACAGTTGATTACATTTACTTATTACTAAAAAGAAAATGCCAAACTATTTTAAACAGTATTTGACTATAAACATAGGTACAAACTGGACATAATGCACTAGTTCATAAACAAGTGAGAACAATCACCTTCATATAGTGCTCAGAATATGACATTCATAAAACTTGTTCAATATCATTAGAGAACTCTAAATCTTAAATACTGAAAGCCACCTCTGATAAGTACAATGTACTATGCAAGATAATGATATAACTGGACTTAAAATACACACAACCTGTAATTAACTGCCTTTACAGCGCTTTGGCGCTTTGATTACTATTGGTTTGCAGTTTCTATTTTAATGTAAATAAGGCAACATTGCAACCATACTCATGATTACAAAAAAATATTGTTAGTGAATTGAATACTTCAAATTTATCAACCTTCTCTAGACACAAATTCATTATATGGAGATATTTTTTAGTTTTACTATTCCTTCATTAAAACATTTTGTACAATATGTTTTTATATGATTGATTTCATTTTTAGCCCTTTGCAGTGGTAAAATCTGTGCTAAATATGGATTGTGTATAGATGGATGTTGTACATGTCAGCCAGGTTACCATGGAAATGCTTATGTATTATGTGAATGTAAGTTAGATATTTTACGTCTTCCTATAGTTGTCAATATGTCTGTCCTTCTGTCAGAATTTTCTATGTTGTATGATGAGTCAAGTTTGTCTCAACAAATCAATGATTTTTATGCATAGTGGTTATGTCAAAAATGTGCGGTTAAAATTGAGTTTTTTTTCAAAAATTGCTGGAATCTATAAATGTTCTATAAATACAATATAGATAAAACAACACCTATCCAAAAAACACTGTTTTAATGAGATATTATCCAAATTTGATAAGAAGTAATAACTCTTAGTTTATGAATTTTCATTAGTAAGACATGATTTTTCCATGACGTTTATGTACCAAATCATTCATGAAGACTCACAGAATTTCATTTTATTTTTTAAACATTTTTCAAACTGCCATTTTTTAAATTTTGTTGTTGTTTGTTACACATTAAACTAGGAATATCAATACTGTCCAGGGGCGTAGCTACCCGGAGGCACGGCAGCACGTGCATCCACGTGGAGAGAGAGAGAGAGAGAGTGAGGGAAAAAAAAAAAGAGAGAGAGAGAGAGAGAGAGTGAGGGACAAAGTTAACATATAGGAATTGGTCTTTCTGTGTATGCATTTTAAAAACTACACAAAGAATAAAAGCAAGAGGAATACACATGCAGCGGAATTTTTAATCCTGTAAGACATGTATGTGTACGATAAATACATACAACTGGTGTAAACTTAGAGGAACTTTTTAAATTACGGGCATTGTTTAGAAAATACCAGCTATATAGTTGCATAAGTCGTTTCTATATGGGCCGGCTATACGAATGGTTGATTGTAAAACCATTTAAATAAATTGTTAATTCTAACTCGTTTTACTGGACTATTATGTCATTCAATTTTAAAAAGAACTGTCTGTGCGAGTAGGACACTAAACTGCTGATTCTTGTTCGAAAGATACACCAAACTTTTATTACACGTATCTTCACTGTTATCATCTAGATATTGCCATACAACTGGTCGAATGCATATGCATTTGTTAATTAGCTGGCTAATTAAAAACGCAGATCATGAAAACGATCGTGATCAAAGTACCACTTACTCTGAAAACGTTCATTAATTTCAACTTCGAATATTCCTAACTATGTAAAATTCGAAATTCCCATCTCTCTCTTGTAGAGTTTACCCACAAAATGTTTAAACATCTAAATACATGTGTTAAGCAAAATATATGAGAATGTGTCCACCAAGTATTTGGTATCCATGATGTTTATGCTAACAGAAACTCCACATATAGTATTGTGTTTATGTTTATTGTTTGTTTTTTTAAATCTACTTTGCTCAGTACAAATACTAGCATATGGAACAAATCTCCGTGATTTTAAAAGCTTTCACGTACAAAAAACGCTAGTGACAATGTTTAGTCTTCATTCGACTCGAAGATAAACAAATAGTTGACCGAAAAACCACAACAAAAAATCCAAGTTTTATTTCGGTTGTGATTGTTTTGAAACGCTATATATGCGGGGCTTCCGGGGGCTTCGACCCCCTGGTTCCCTACCAGGGCTTTGCCCTGGACCTACTGGGGGCATTAGGCGTTCCCCAGACCCCTCGCCCTATAGTTTGTGATTCCAC